CACTTGGCACCATTGCATTCATGGTCCAAACGATGACCCGCGCCCGTCCCGTTAACATCCTAACACAAGATTGTCCACCAAATACAATGGTGGAACAATACTGTTAAAAGGGTTAAAACATGAGAAAGACCTTTGAGTACAATAGGGTAGACAACTCTTAGTTACTTGATCAAGCTTGCGAAACACACTTGCCTACTTTTAAAACACACTCCACAACACAACTTTCAAAACAACTTTCAAAACAACTTTCAAAACATTGAAACATCTTTTCGAAAAGACACACACCTTTGTAAAACATTCGAGTAAAGAATTGTTACAACGGTTGCCTAGACAAGGCATATTTTTCAAAACATTTTCAAAACCACACACACACACCACTATTTCAAGCAATTGAAAATCAAAGGCAAGTGATCTAAAACAAGTAACTAAGAGCCCATGGATAACCATTGATGAAAAGGGTGCTAATACCTTCCCTTTTCATAATCTACCCCCCGAACCCACGAAAACATCTCAAAGGTTTTTCCTGTGCTTTTTAAACCTTTCCTTTAGGATAAAATAAAAATTCGGTGGCGACTCTTGCTAAACCGAACAAGTGCGAATACAAACGCAAAACCTCAAGTCAGTTCTCCCACCGTATCACAATTAGCAAATTCATACTTGCCTCTGATTTATAGTTCTGATATTTCTTGTTTCTGAAACACTATGACACCTGCTATAATTGTCAAAAGCACATCTTCCGTTTTGTTGAGAAATGACCAAGTAGCAGATGTTCTGACCAGCATGGAGAGGGAGACCAAGTTCTGCCAGTGGTATCAGAACTTCTGAAAACTACCTTGTTTCCAATGGACCCAGAACTTCTGACTTCACCCATTTTTTCATTAACAGGATGTCTATTTTGCAGCAGGCCAGGGTCAGAACTTCTGACCTCCTTTAGTCAACAATACGCTGATTCTGTTTTTATTTTTCTCACTATTTTTGCTATTACTTTCTTTTTCATTAATCAAAAAGACACCAATTTTTTTTTTACATGCTTTATTTTATTTCTTAAAACAAAAGATCAAAAAATATTTTCTTAAAATAAAATAAGTCCATTTTACATCTTTCGTACATTCTTATACATTCGATATGGTTGTAATAATAATTTAGGATTTAATTTTATCTGTAATCCCAATTCATAAATATGTACCCCCATCCCCCAAATATTGTAATAGCGCAGAACTTTATATTTCTGCAACTTATTGCTTTCGAATATAAATGCTAGTAATTAAGGTGTGTATGGCAAGATAAAATCAACAAATAGATCATCCTAATCAATACTAAAATGCATGTAATCAAACACACTTTCACACTAGCACCCTTAAGGTTAACTCCACTTGTTTCCTAAAAGTGGTCATGTTACGCATGCGGGGTGTCTTAGTAAAACCAATCGAAATACAAGATCACAGTCCCTCGATGACGCTATTCAAGTTGCCTTACAAATGATCTTAGTCCCTAAAAGAAAAATGCTAAGATACCTTGCAACATTGCTTTCTATGACTATGCAAAACGTCCCAACGTTCGTCCCTTCACATCCAATGATGGGGCTTCTTACCAAATCAATGGTAATATAACAACATCTAAAGGAGGAGGAAAAGTACATATAAGACCTTTTGAGTAGGTAGGTTCGCTCTCAGTTACTCACTTGCTCGCAACAAAAAAACATTTCATACACCAACACTCTCACTTTGAAACATTTTCAAAAGATAACACTTTGTACGCATTCCTATAGAAACGAGAGCCATTACAAAGAAAGTACCTTTTCAAAATCACTTTCAAAAACATATCTCACAAACACATCTTTGAACTATTTTCGAAACAACACTTTGTATGCGTTCTTATAGAGACGAGAACCATTACAAAGACATTTTCAAAAATACTTTCAAAACTCACACCACAAGCACATTCAAACAGAAGCAAGTGATCTAGCAAGCAACTAAGAGCCCATGGAAAACCATGGATGAAAAGGGTGCTAATACCTTCCCTTTTCATAATCTACCCCACGAACTCAAGAAAACATCTCTAAAGGTCTTTCCTGTGCTTTTTCACCTTTCCTTATTGGATAAAAGAAAAGTCGGTGGCGACTCTTGCTAAACCGCAACATTTGCAAACACAAACGCAAAACAATCAAGTCAGTTCTCCCATCGTATCACAATGTGCAAGTACGGGATAATCTTACGGTGGAGACGATGCCTGTACGGATCGCGGATCATGAAACTAAGACTCTGAGGGGAAAAGAGATTGTTTTGGTTAAAGTGGTTTGGCTAGGAGCTTCCGAAGAAAGCATGACTTGGGAGTTGGAGAGCAAGATGCGAGACTCCTACCCTGAGTTGTTTGATTGAGGTAAATTTTCGAGGACGAAAATATTCTAAGTGGGGGAGGATTGTAACGCCCGTAATTTAATTAATTATTTAATTAAATTATTTTTGGAATATTTGAGAATATGTGTTGTGTTACGTTTAATTGGATTTAACTATTCTATTAAGTGGAGAAATAATATTAGAAGTATAATATTATTTGATGTGGGCTTGTTTTAAAGGAATATAAGTAATAAGGGGGTGTATTAGTTTTGAGCCTAATAAGGAGTTAAGAGAATAATAGGTTATTTTATTGTTGTTAGAAATAATAGAAAAGAGGAGACAGTAGAAGAATAAGGATTGAGAAGAAGAACGTGAAGCTGTTGGAAAAACAGGAAAAACAGCAGATCAAGGTTTCAACCAGAAAATTATAGAGCGACCTTCAATCCAAGGTAAGGGTGGGGTTCTGACTCTATAATTGTGTTCATGATGATTGGCATGTTAGGTTAGAGGTGATTGTTGTCTTGTTCATGAATTGAATGTATATGATGTTGTATGATGAAGAATTGATGAATTATGGATGAATATTGATGTTCCGATGCGGTTTAATTGATGTAGAAATATAGGGTAATTGTAAGTGATGATTATCTATGATTAGATTAAGTTTTTAGGGCTTAAAATATGAAACCCGTAGTGAAAATGCAGAGCAAATCGCATAATTTATGCAGGATATAACAGGATGCGTCGACCTCACATGATGTGTCGATACATGAAGGTTTAGAGACTCAGGATGAGTCGACACGAAGAGGTTTTGCGTCGATACATGAGGACTTTTAGACTCAGGATGAGTCGATACGTAGAGGCATGTGTCGATACATGCAGTGTGGTAGACTCAGTATGAGTCGATACAAGAGAGGATGCGTCGACTCATGTTGCGAATTCAGTGCAGTACGCGTCGATCCAAGGAGTTATGTGTCGATCCATGTTGCCTGGTTTTTTTGGCAGAATCAGTTTGAGAATGCTGTAACTTGAGTTTTCGGACTCCGTTTGAGGTGTCGTTCGAAGCGTTGAATAGCTAACGCGGTGAGCTTTATTCTTAAGGTTTAAAATGAAGATAGGAAGGATAACCATAGGATTTGAATTAATTCCCGCGTTAATCGTTATCTTGGTTGTAAGCAAAATGATGAGGATGAAATATTTATAGGCTGCTGTTTGATTTGTAACAGTAGGAGTAATGATAGTAATGATGTAAGATTACAGAATAGCGGTGTGAATTACTGTCGTATTAATGTAGAGCTGAGTTGTTGATGAGATTTTATTACTGATGTTGTGATGATAAATTATGATGAATAAATGATGTTTGATGAATAAATGATGTCTGATGAATTATTATGAATGATATGAGATGTTTGATGAAAAGATGTTGAGATGCTTTTGAGATGTAGGCCTTTGGCCAACGATGATGATGTATTGAGATGTTGTTAATTGTGGTGTTGTTATTACATTCATGATTGTGTCGCATACATTGCATTTTGAGATGAAGTTTATGCTCGTTGAGATTACCTGTATTGGCGAATATTGAGATGAAGGCTTATGCCTTGTTGATGCCTCTATTAATTGGCAAATTTTTGAGATGGGAGTTCTGCTCCAAATGGTACCACATGCATTTGCATAGTATTGAGTCGCATTATATGACTGTATAAAGAAGTGTGTATTGATGTGGTGAATGTGTATTATTATTGTTGATTATGAGATGAGAAGTGATGATGTTATGTGATCTAATTTAATATATTAATTATCATGGGCTTTATAATATTGTTAGATATCCCACCCCTTTTGTTTGAATCTTTCCCTTATGTTGGTAACGTGCAGGTAATCGGGAGTGAAAGATGTATATCTTCAATAGTTTGAGTCAGTGTCATTGCTCTGATATGTAACACTCGGGGGATGAACGCTTGTTGATTTTGGTTGTTGATTATTCAGTTGTTGAACTTTAAGTTGATTATTATTAAATTGAGTTGTTTTGAAGTTGCTGTAATGATGACATAGATGTTATTAATGATTTCCGCTGCGTAGATGTTGAATTATTTAATTAAAGATGTCATGATGATGGTTCATTCGATGTTTTAAAAGTGTTATATATCCACGATGAATGCAATGAATTTTGATAGAAGAATTTGTGGCATCCCGATTCGTTTGGATGAATGATTTTTATAATTCTAATTTATTTATATAATTTGCCGGGGTAGAATTGGGGTGTTACATCCGTCGTTGATAGTTTTCACCTTTGAAAACTGGTAGATTTACTGGAAATTGTATTGATGTTGTTGATCCGTTTGCCATTAGATTCACTTTGAATCACAAACAAACTCTTGATACCAATTTGTTAGAACAAAGGATTCAAGAAAGATGATATTGTGAAAGCAAGTAGGAGAGAGAGATGATGAGTTAGTTATGTGTAACTAACTATTTAAACTGAATTGTATTATTGTTGTTGCTTATTATTATTAAAAACACAATGACTCTTTATATAGACAAAATAGTCCAAACCCAAATACATGTTAAAAACTCATAAGAAGAATTAACCAACTAATAGAAGCCAATTGACCTCTAGTTTATCGGAGACCAACAGCTCAACTGGAAGGCTTCATCTTCACATGCATTCACATGCAGGATGATGGAAATCTTGTTATGTATCCCGAATACACCGCAGAAACGACATGGGGTACTTATTGGAGCTCTGATACTGCTGCTGGATACAAAGTCCAATATCATCTTTACCTCAACAAAACCGGTTTACTACAGATCTGGAATAAAAGGAATGATCTTAACCCTATTCAGACCTTGAATTTTTATTATTATGAAGAGGACCAGCTGAACTCTGGAGACAAGACTATTTATCGTGCAACCCTTGGTTTTGATGGGGTTTTCCGGCTGTATGCTTATAATGTTATGAATAGAAACAACAGTATTATGGATAGTTGGCCGAAAGACAGTACATGTGACATAATGGGTTTTTGTGGCCACAACAGTTTCTGCACATTCAATGACGACAAGCCAGATAACAAGACAGTGTGCAAATGTATCCCGGGTCATAAATTTATAGACACAAATGATGTTACTCTTGGATGTGAAAGGAACTATATATAAAAAGAGTGTAGAAGTGACAGAGATGGTAAGGGCTTTTATAACATGGTCCCGATGAATGATACTGTATGGCAGGACCATCCTTATTTCAAATATGAAGACATGTCATCACAATAAGAATGCTCACTTGCTTGTTTGGTTGATTGCAACTGTTGGGCTGCAATTTTTGAAACTGGAGGAATCTGCAAAAAACAAGGAATGCCTTTGAGATATGCCAGACGATCAGATGAAGATGACGATTCTACCACGGCTTTCTTAAAGATTGGAAGCTCAAAGGGTCATGAAAAACATTTTGATTTTCCAATCAAGACTAACATTAACAAAGCAGTAGTGCGTATTATTGTTGTTACGTCCGTGTTTAGTGTCATTTTCTGTTCAGCGATTGTAATATCCATCCATTACATGTACAAGATTCGGGTATTAAAGTATAAAAGGCTGACAGAAACTGGGAACTTTGGAGGGCTGAGTGAAGATTTGGCTTTGAGAAGGTTTACATACAATGAGCTGAGAAAAGCAACAAATGATTTCAAAGAAGAGTTGGGTAAGGGCTCTTTTGGAGCCGTTTACAAAGGGGCCTTAAACAAAGGTAAGAGGTTGATTGCAGTGAAGAGACTAGAGAAGTTGGTGGAAGAAGGAGAAAGAGAGTTTCAAGCAGAAGTGAGAGCCATTGGAAAAACCCACCATAGGAACCTAGTTAGATTGCTTGGCTTTTGCGCTGAGGGTTCTAAAAGGCTTCTAGTTTATGAATACATGAGCAATGGTTCACTTGGAAAGCTTCTATTTGGTGATCAAAGACGTCCAGATTGGGATGAGAGAGTAAAAATAGCACTGGATATTGCTCGAGGGATGTTGTATCTCCATGAAGAATGCGAGGCACCGATCATTCATTGTGACATAAAGCCTCAAAACATTTTGCTGGATGAGTTTTGGACCGCTAAGATATCTGATTTTGGTCTTGCAAAACTTCTAATGCCGGACCAAACCAGAACTTTCATCTGATTGTAATTCAACTATAATTTTATTTTTTAGTGCTTGATAGTAAATCAACTTTAATTTGTTGCACCATTTAAGATTGTGGTAAGAAAGAGATCGATACCTGAACTTTTCAATTAAATACATCAACCAACTAGTGTGAATGAAACCAAAAAATGTAAAGAGTTAAAAAGAAAAAAAGCTGAGCATTAAAGGCAAATATAAGAAATGGAGAAAGCACGAACGCGTTGAGGAATATATAAAGCAGATGCACTAAAGATAAGAAGAGGGTTATGGAAAGGTCTCTCAAGTATGAACTTCAAAACAGAAAATGGGAAAGCATCTCTTAACTTACACATATTTCAAAAGTATGGATAAAAATTAATAGTGTATTTCACATCATTTTATTCATGTGGAAGAATCATTTTTATAATTTTTCCACTTATATTTCTATTTTATGAAAATGTATTTGGTTAAATGGCCAACACCTTGCAATCCACTTTCTTTATAAAAAGAATTAAAAACAGCTCAGTTGTATAGTGTGAGATCTACTTTTTGCCTAGAGACAAACCATTATAAATAGGTAAAAATCAGTGATACAAATGCTCTACAAGCAAAGGAATACTTGTTTCAGTTTTCATTGTATTAGTTCAAAATGATTGTGAAATTGTGCTTCCTAGTGATTTTGGTGATGACTTTGACAGTTAAAGCCCAACTGAAAACTGGGTTTTATTCAACTTCATGTCCAACGGCCGAGTCCATCGTTCGGTCCACAGTTGTATCTTACTTCAACAATGATCCAACCATTGCTCCTGCCCTACTGAGACTTCATTTCCATGATTGCTTTGTCCAAGTAAGCTAAACCGTCCTCCTTATATAAAACAATGTTACTAACATCATCATTTGACAATATCTCTTCGACTCCCACAGGGCTGTGATGGATCAATATTGATTGCAGGGTTCTCCGCTGAAAGGAATGCATTGACAAACCTTGGTCTAAGAGGTTTCGAAGTGATAGACAATGCAAAATCACAAATAGAGGCCATATGCCCTGGAGTTGTCTCATGTGCTGACATCCTAGCATTAGCAGCTCGTGATGCTGTCGATTTGGTATTAAAACCTACTCAAACTCGCTCAAACTGCTCGCACGCGCACACGCAACACCTTGTGATTTTTAAGTAACCATGATGAAATTAACACTTGTGATTTGTTAATATGTCAGACCGATGGCCCAAGTTGGTCAGTACCAACAGGAAGAAGAGATGGAAGGATTTCTTTACCATCTCAAGCCTCAAACTTGCCTTCTCCACTTGAACCTGTTTCTGTCCACAGACAAAAATTTGCTGCCAAAGGTCTAGATGATCATGACCTTGTTACCTTACTCGGTAAGCTTTTTGACACTAATTCAACCTTTTGCAAGCATATCATATATGTTCAGCTTTTTGACACTAATTGAACTTTTTGCAAGCATATCATATATGTTCCTAGTATTTGGTTTATATTTCTCGGTTTATGCATGACACAAACTCTTACTTTGTGTGAAGGTGCACATACAATAGGCCAGACAGATTGCAGGTTCTTTAGTTATCGGATGTACAATTTCACACCAACTGGGAATGCCGATCCTTCTATAAACCAAGCTTTCTTATCCCAACTTCAAGTAATATGTCCAAAAAACGGCAATGGTTTGAGAAAGGTTGCTTTGGATAAAGATACTCCGGCCAAGTTTGATGCGAGTTTCTTCAAGAATGTACGCGATGGTAATGGGGTTCTAGAGTCAGACCAAAGGCTGTGGGAAGATTCTGCTACTAGAAGAGTGGTGCAAAACTATGGAGGGATTATTAGAGGGTTATTGGGGTTAAGATTTGATTTTGAATTTCCAAAGTCTATGATTAAGTTGAGTAGTGTTGATGTGAAGACTGGTTATGATGGAGAGATTAGAAAAGTGTGTTCAAAGTTTAATTGATCACTGGTGTCCTTTGTGCTCAGTTTATATGGTTAAAAAGGCTAAAAAATGCAACTACTTCAGAAGCATAAAACAGTGAATAAGTGCTTAAACAATAGCATAATAACATAATTGGTTTTTGGTCTTGAAATGAGTATGTTTGTAATTAGAATTAAACATGGAAACAATAAGAAATATTGCCAAACCAATACAGGAACATGTGCAATTATAGTTGAAGTAGAATGTGTTTAAACATAGGATTTAATTATATTAATGCAAAACCAATCTCAATGAGATAATAATTCACAAATGAAAATCAATCACATAAATCTAAAATCATTATCAATCGCATAAATTTATAATTATTGTTGGAACAGGTACGCGAATATAAATCAGAGTGGAGAGAAACACAAAAGTTTTGTTCACGTAGCTCGATCAAATTGTCTATATTTGCGACAGACCTTACTGGTTGATCAGAATCTGTAATGGGCCGATAACTTCGTCTGCAATGCTGATAAAATAGAGGAGGAAGGGGTGCATCTGCAATACACTTCGATGCTCAAGTAAGTAAGAGTGCAAAAAGATACAAGAGAGAGATTAGGTTTTTTTTTAGAGTGAATATTAGATATATGGCCCTCACAAGTATGAGGGTTTATATAATGCCCCGACACTTGACCATTGGTCCCTATTTTTAGGCCTAGATATCAGGTTCCTCAAAAATAGATAACTTCCAGGAACTAGCCGTTATAACGGGCATAGATGCTCGGAACTAGCCATTACGACGGGCAGACAGGTGTTCGACCAATCTAGGGCCGTAGTCAAGGCGGCGAGTGGGTTCGCCATCGTCGGAGCTCATGAATTTTTCGACGAGTGTATGAACTTTCTGGTGAAGGTATGAAGTTTCAGACGAAGGTCTGAAGTTTCTGATGAACCTTCAAACGGACTTCTGGGTAGTGTGCCAGGGAGACTCTCCTCGTAAAGGTTTATGGATTTACCTGTCGGGGAGGCTCTAAATCAGTGGGGAAGATCCCATCGCGCCTTTGTTCATTTAGGTAAGGGCTTTGGCCGAGGATGCTGTTCTTATGCCTTTATACGCCTTTTCACTTGATTTGTGGTGGATTTGATTTGATCGTCAAATTCACTATTCTCTTCTGCTTTTTAGGTGAAAATATCTGCCAATTATGAGGACGACCATATGTCCGAGCAAATCGAATCTTCCGAGGAGGAGTTGAAAGCTTCAGATCCAGCTTCAGATCCCTGTGATTGGATAGATCCAGAGCCTCGGGGAATAGCCTCGTTGTATGCCTCCTTTTCTGAGAAGGTGTTTAACAGATGTTGGAGGGGAGACCAGTTCCTCAGGTGTCGAGGAGAATTGGAGGGTCTTGTTCCCCGAAGAAAATGAAAGGATTTGCTCGCCTTATGACACCAATCTATTTCCCGTGTACGAATGTTTTTAAAGAGATAGGGCTTCGGTTTCCCTTCTCCGACCTTCAGATGGTGATTTTTTCCCCATTTGGATCTGGCACCCCCGCAGCTGCATCCTAACTCGCTCGCCTTTACTCGGGCATTTGAGCTCGTCTATGACTACCTCAAGATTAGGGCCACCGTCGCCCTCTTCTTTGCTTGTTTCCACCTTCAGCAGCAGACGACTTCAGATGGGCAATTTTCCTGGGTGTCTTTAAAGTAGTTGAAGAAGTTGTTCAAAGCGTACTCAGAGTCTATTTGTATGTTCAAGGACAAGTACTACGTCGTTCTTCCTGTTTCGAGGAAGGTTATAGATTCCTTGCTCTTCTGGGAGATTATGAGGGATGATGAAGGGAAACCCCTCCTCAACGAGGATGGTCGGCAGAAGAGGCACCCAGTTCAGAGGTTTTGTTTTTCTTGGAGTCGGGATAATTTTGACCGAAAAACCGATGAGTACCTTGTGCAGCCGAGCAACCTGGAAGGGGAAGATTTGGCCACTTATAACAAGATTGTGGCATATGCTGATAGCTTTATTCATGCCGAGTGTGTGACCAAGCGCAGGGAGATCATTCTTGACGATGATATGGAGCCTATGCTTGCATCTCGACTTATTAGCACGAAGGTTCTCCTCGAATGTGCCACTTACGTGGATGCCCTAGAACTTTTAGGTAGCTTTTAGTTTACTGACTTGGTTTTTATTGTTTTCATTGCTTTAGTGATTTATGCTTGTTGCTTGTTGTAGGTGAAATTTCAAACGCACAGGAGCGTATGGTCAAGATGACCGTCGCCAACAAATCGAGGCAGTTTAAGAAAGCTCCAAATCAGAAAATTTTGTTGGGTGGTAATCCACCTCCTCCTCGTACTAGATCTGGGACTTTGTCTTCTACTTCTCCTGGTGAGCATCCATCTTCGAAACAAGTGATTTTGGTGCGGAAACGTCATCGTATGGTGAGCGATCCTGTTGACCTTACCGGGGAGGGCCACACGGATATGTACAAGCTTCCTCCCTGCTGGTTGCATATGGGTTAATTTGAGAGGGGTCCCTCTCTGAGAGTACCACGGACAGAGTCCCTGCATCTGGAGTATATCGACCAACCAAACAAGAGGAAGACCTTTGCTCAGGATACTGTTGGTTTGATGAGGATTCTGGAGCTGGCGGTGATCCATACCTGAGGATGGGACCCCTTAGTGTCAAGGAGGTGAAGGATGTTTGTGCGACTATCGTGGCTCTCGAGGAGAAGATGGCCAAGATGAAGACTGAGAAAGAGGAGTGGGAAAAAGAGAAAACAACCTTGATCGGGCAAGCTAAAAATATGGCCCAGTCGAACAAGGATCTCGAGGATAGGAAAGCTACATTGGAAGTTGGCGTGGCCCCGACTGAGGATGAAGCCGAGGACCTGAAGATATTTAGGACCTATGCCGAGTTGGCTTCCCATATCCGTTAGGTCGAGGAGGGTTGCGTAGCAATCAGCGAGGATAGCTTTAGTAATGCAGTAGCGCAACTTAAGGTTGCTACCTAATGTTTATCTCAACATGGACGGGATTGTGTTCCTTTACAGTGTGGATGACGGGAAAATCGTTGTCCCCGAGTTTCTCAAGTTCGCTGAAGAGGGAGAAG